ACAGGCTTTCAATATTTATCACGGGGAGCTTAATTGAACCTTGATGTAGAATAAGTTTCTCTTAGAGGGAACCAGAATAAAATAAAGGTACCATGATTTTTCTTGCTGAATTTACTTGATAGGTTTTTTTTTATAGAATTTAATGTTTTGACTCTACCTGCTGTTGCAATGTTTTCTTTGAAAAATTTTTGTTTTAGTATGAAATTATATTTCTTAATGCACTCCTTATTTTGAGAATTTCAATGTTTTATGAAGATTTTATCCCAGTTGGAAGAGAGTGTTATTTCTCTTAATGTTTGGTGTCACATGCTGACACAAAAATATATTTGACACAATCATAACGGCCTTTCGATTCATTTCCCTGCACTGGTTTTCAGAAACTATTCTTTACCCCTTAGTCTTGGTATGTGAAAAATTATTACAGTAGTGGAACCTGGTAAATATGGACACCAAGGGGACATACCATAGTATCTGTGTTTCACTGTATAAATAAGTTATAATCATAACTAGTCAAAGATTTCCTACTACTTTGTTTATAATTATTAGCTGAGGCCTGGTTCAGCTGGCTTGGGCAAAGGGGAAACAATGCAATGTTTTCAATGACTGTTACTTTTTGAGGAAGGGGGACAACGCTTAATAGACCATTTTACAGTTATGAGTTTAAGAAAATTACCCTAGCTTCTAAGTGACCTTGAGGCCGAGGTTGACCTTGTTTTCAGATAAACCTCTTTACATTTCTTATAGAAATCATGCTAAAAAAGATACTAGTTTGCATGAGAACAACAGGATTTACATAAGAACGTAGGAGGGGTTGTATCAAAACAAGGTCAACTCCAGAGCTGTAAAATGGACTATTACCTGGACTTGTAGGGGTTTAACAATTCTCTACTTAAACTGTGTCTCTGAGAGACCTGTTGTTTAATTAGTTGGTGTTTTCCATTTGCTCTTTTGTGGCTGACATGCAAGGTACTTCCAAAAGGTAGTGTTTAAGAGAACTGATCATTTTCACAAGTTGTTATACGGTTTGATTTGTATAAAGCTTAGCTCTGAGTGTCCAGGACCGGGTTGTTCAAAGCTGGGTTAAGACAACCGATGCTCAGTGCGAAATTTGAATTCAAACTTCAAAAGTTTAAAATTCAGTTTAATTCTTTCTGTCAACAAGTCGATGGTTATATGCTCAAAAAATATCAGAAAATTGTCTGTGAAAATGTCCTGAGGGTTTGTCAATTCTTTGGAGTCTTGTCACCTTTCTTTTTATTTGTTTTGGGGACGAGGTTTAGACACTTTAATAACACATACAGCTGACCTACCAGTTCTTCAATGTTTTTATTGTTATTATTATTGTTATTATTATAATTATAATTATAATTATAATTATAATTATTATTATTATTATTATTAAATACTCGTTATTCAAGAAAAAATTATTTTTCCCGGGCTCCAAGCGACGTTATATGACCAGGCACCTGAGTTTTCATTGTTTGTCATTCGCCAATGCTAACGTTAGTGCCCAGGCGGCCCGAGCTCACCACAGCGTCATGAGAAGTTCGCGCCGAATCGCCGAGTGCGGTACAAAAGTTGCCCTGTAAGCGATTCTGAGCTGTTTGCTTCCTTCTATTTAATGGTTCAGGAAAGTCAAATTATAAGCGGAATGTGTGATAAGGACTCTTTTGGACTTTTTCAAGAGAGGTTATCTCCCATGTTGTTCAGGGTATCGAAATTGTTTTTATTTTGTCTTCTAGAAGGTAATAGTTATTACGCTGAGGCTTGAAATCACTGTGGATTCATCATTCTCACGTAAGTCTTTACTTCTCTTATTACTGGTGAGGTTATATGTTAATCGTCGATTGAAAGGATTGAAAATAGCCGAATATTTTCCCTCGCTGACGTGTTTGGAGACGATGGTCGTATTTATCAACCCTAATAAACCATGTACATTGTACGTCACTGGCATGAAAAACTGACATGCGTTCAAGGGTGGGTAGAAAACGAGGACCTAAGACCTAAGACCCAAAAACGAAGACCCCCCTCAAAATCACTTATAAATATCTAGAAACGGGTATCTCGACCTTAGATTTGTAAAAAACAACAATATCTTCAATGGTCTTTAATGGTCCCCAGAAGCATTCCAACGAGTCCAAATTTAAAATGACGCAGATTATTCAGTAATCTGACTTCGCGAAGTTTCAAACCGGTGTCATTTCAGTCTAGGAATTTTTAAGTTGAGTGAACTGCAGCGAAAGAGTGTCTGATTAAGGCTTACATAACAACTTAAATAGCTAGCAAAACACAACTTTTTTCGCGGTCCGATAAACAACAGGATTTCGCGTAGGATAGACAACAAACTGAATGAAACATAGTGCACAAATTATCACCTTCTTATCCGCCAAAATCGGCCTATGGTTCAATGCCATTAGAGCCCGCTGAAACTAGACCTAGATCCAATTTTCCTAAGTCGAGAGTTGTTTCACAAGGTACAATCAGCCAAGCTAAACACCGACGGAACAGTATTAATGGCTGGCACAGGATATTTTGGCGAAACCGCAGTTCAACCACGCGATCACATACCTGTCAACACCATGCGGAAATAACACAATCACACACTTTCGTGGCACTGATAAGACTATCCACAACCACGCATAATCTTCTCACGTTTAACATAAGCGAAATATCATCAAATAACTCGGAAAAACTCAGCCTATTGGCAAACAAACACCTCTGGACTTTTCTCTTATACTCGTCTTATTCAAGTTCCCAGATGTAGAATCACACGGTCTGCGGGGACCACCTTAGCCTTGTTTTCACACCAGAAAAAAAAAAACTAAGTCTTGGCCCGGGTCAAAGTTCGCCTTCAATTCTGCTCGCATCTAATTCATTTGACTACTAAGAGCCTGTTCCCGAGGCCAAAGACTTAGTGGTCACCTTAGAAAAGCGAACAATATCGCACCTTTCTGTCTCAGCCCGGATCAGGGTCATTGATCCGTTTAGCCAAATGAAACGAGAATATAATACAATATTGGACGATGCAGACTCTGCGAATCGTAATAACTTTGTCCCATCTCAGAGCTTTACATGATGCTCTCCGGGAAACGTTTCTCAAGGTGACCAATATCTTAAAGTAAACTGCTCAACGACACCGAAACCAGCTTTAGGTGCCCACTGATTTCAAATAACTGTCACTTGTATCAAAGAGAGAATTGTGGGTAGGGACCAGAAAAATAGGGGGGTTAGATAGTAATTCTGTCCACATCCGCTTCTACACAAATCCCCAACCACAAAACAAGCAAAAAAACGGCATAAGCAAAAAACATAGTAAATAATCTATTAGACCGGGGAAATTGAGAAAAATTACAAAATGTTTGCTAATCCGGTTTTCATAACTCCAGGTAGATAAATATGAGTTACTCAAATGGATTACTGCACTTCAAAAGTCGGACTTTTGGTCAAGGTGAGACAGGTAGACCTGGAGTAGGTTTTAATCTAACATCCGATGGGAAATATGATACGGTAAACAAAAAACTGGCAAATGTGGCTGAAGGAACTGCTTCCAGTGATGCCATAACAAAACATGAACTTGATACAGCAATGATTGATAAACATGATAATAACCAGAACATTGATCTTAAGAATACTTACAATGTCATCAACAGCAAACAGCAGACGTGCAATGAAATGAATGGAAGTAGAAATGCTCTTGTGTGTTATGAGAATATTCGGGACGTTTTCGTGAGCGGTAAGGAATCTGTTTTTCCAATGGCAACTTATTTGGATATGGGAAACAATTATATCTATAATGTTAATTAAGACATCCATCATATGGTAAACACGGAGTAAAAAAATCTTATGTTGATACAACCTTTTTGAAACTATCTGGTGGTACAATGACTAGCGCATTGTATATGAAAACTACTTTACAAGTTACTCTTGATGAAGCACTAAATGTTAAAACAGTAACAGCTTATTTTGTGCAGATAAGGAACCCGTATGTAGATACCCGATTCAATATGGTCAATCATAAGATAATCAATCTCGGAGACCCAACTAGCAATAAAGATGCCACAAATAAAGCTTATGTTGATACTAACTTTTTGAAACTGTCTGGTGGCGATATAACAGGCATGGTGAGTAAAGACACTCAATCAACTATGTTCGACAAAAGCTTACTAAATTATGAAGAGGCGAAATTTTGGTTTGTTGAGAAAGGGAACCCACATGTTAGGGTAAGATTTAATATGGCCGATAATAAGATCATAATTCTTGGAGACCCAACTGATGATAAAGATGCTATTAAAATGTTGTTTTTGGAACAAGAGGTCCAAAAATCTCATATTAAACCAAGTCATTACAATAATGAATTCAAATACTTGATGGCTAATAAATTACAATGGACTGATCTTCTGGGAGATAGCTGTGACATTTCTAAAATTGATAATTTAATGCCTCATGAGAGCAACTATCATCAATATAATCATAAAGTTCTATTCACAACCATTAGAAAGGATCAGAAAGGCGGGTATACATATAAGATGCGGATACAATGTTACCCACTTGATAAGGACAAAGATGATATTCTCTGTATTGAAATTCTCAATTTAGATTACCAACTATGGCACAAATCAGTTGCTACAACTGATAAAAACACATCACAGGGGTTAACAATTGATGGTGTTGTGCTACAAAAGTTTTCTCATAGATATACAAATAATAATGGGAGTGTTGAATACATGTATTATATCAAAACAATTGTAAATTTTCAAAAAACTGCACCGGATCCACTTTACAGCCTACATCTCTATGTTGATATACCCCAAACAGGTAATGATCTTGGTACGTATTCAGCAAATTGGACAAAAAAATGGATTATCGCTTATGGCGTTTATGGAAAAACATCATCAATTGACCATCAAAAAACGTACGATTACCATACAGCATTTGATATTAAACCAACAAAAGTTATTTATAACGTAGACCTTGATAGGAACTAAAAAAAGATATACAACATTGCTTTAGATAAAACCCACAGTAATAGTGCGGCAATTGTAAAAATGGTTAGTGACCTGGAGACAAAAATATATCCTTACACAAATAATTACGTATATAGGGAAATATTTGAACAGTTTTATGATTCCAGTGATGCTAGCAACTATAAACTGACAACAGGAGTATCAGGTATCACATTTACAGGTATTAATCCCAATTTGACATTTCCTCAAAGGACTATAAGCAATGTCCACGTTGATGCACTAAGGTTTCAAGGACAAGCACTAAATTTAACATTATCACATAGTCCAAATTTCACAATATGTGTTGTTATGCAATTGTGGCTAAATAGAGGATTGTATGTTACATTCCATGTTAAAAATAATTTGAATAGGCCAATATTCAGGTATGATAGTACATCAAAAAGATTATTTTTAGAAACTAATTCTGGTCAAACTCACATTACTTTAACAAATGACTTCGATGGTAAAAAAGTTTTATTTTGAATGGCTGAAAATAGTAATGCTGGTGTGGTAAAAGCGGCAATATCCAATTATTCCTCAACTTTATCACATCAATCAAATGGTATAGCAAGTGGGAGAGAAATTTTTGAAATAACATCACAAGGTGCAGTAGTCCATAAAATAATGTATTCCCCAAACTTCTATTTCTTTGATTCCGAACAATATCATAAAATAATGTTACAAGAAAAGTTAAACGGGTCATATATCCTGTAAATAGTCTAAACTAATAATATAAATGAGTGTATTTAACTTTAACCACATTGACAAGAACAAAAGTAAGGAAGAAATTGCGGAGATTAAAGATTATCATTATAGATACTGGTGCTATCAAAAGGCAATACTTTAAGAAACTGAATCTGGCAATAAATATGACTTCCACTAGTTTGATAGCAATTGGAGTTGTTGCTGGTGCCGGGTGGTTTAACATTGAACCCAGCCTTCTAGGAAGTATATCCGGCGCTGGTCTAGCCTTAAAAACATTCTCAGAGACTAAAGATTATAAATGCAAAATTGAGATAAGTAAGTTTGCCTATACAACATATCAGAAAGTGTTGCTTGATCTTAGAACCGCACTAAGAGGGGGCGCATTTTATAAAGGTGATTTTCTAAAGGAGTTGAACATCCTTGACGACACTGCTGTGGATTTTTTCCCATTGGTGACGAAATTTGAAAAATAATTCGCTAAACAATTTACATTCGACGAATAAAGGCTATTTTAGGAGCACTACCACTTGTGTTTTGATAGGTCATACAAGAGGATTCCCTCGCTATATGAACTTCCTGTCTAAATTCTCAGAAAGAGACGCCACCGCTCACTTGCTTATAATATCATCCTTGATTAAGTTATAAACTCGTTTCCACCATTGAGCATAATAATTCAATGTCTTCTTTGACTTTGTGAGAGGAATAAACTTGTATTCTATTCCTAAAATGTCAAATAGCTGCTTGAGAATAAAATAATACTAATCATGCGTTTTCGACCAATATCAACTTCCGGTGAAACTTGGTCAATCAGTTTAAAAATTCTCAGATTTTTTTCCCCTATTGTAGTAACCAATCTGCATGTTATTCTTTTGTGCAATATCATTGATGACATTCAAAATATGATATTTCCTGTGGTATACAGACTTCTTTCTTATCCTGTGCATATTCTCATAAAAATCCACAAACTCATTCGCTGATTTATACCCGTGCACAGAACCACAATTAGTGCATACTTGTTTGAAACAGTCTACTGTTTTATTTGGACTGCCACAACATTTTGTTTCCGCACTCTTAATTTCCTCCAATTGCTCATCTCAAAATGAGCATTGCACCAGATTCTCTTCATTTAATAAATACATATGTGCTTCTTCACAGTTCATCCATGCTATACTATTTTATATTAATATCTCTTCATACCTGTTTACCTCTGCGCAATGCCGGAGGGAAAACCCCCCTGGAGGGGACACAAATCACATCCCACATTGAAGAGAATAATGATTTTAGAGTCAAATATAAGGCTCGTTCAAGGTAGTATTAGGAGCTACCTCGAGAAAGGATTAATTAGGTTGGAAAAACGCAGGGCCTTCTTAATTAATCTTAGTATCAAGTTACCCTTATTAATATGCCCTAAAAACTCTGCGGGGGTTAGATTAACTTGGAATATAATATACAGTCAACTCCCGTTATAGCAGACACCCTCGGGACCGCGATTTGGTGTCCGTAATAGCGAGAATCCGAAATAGCGGGGTGCGAGAAAATTTTTATTTTAAACCATATTTACAGAAGGGGGACACATGTGTGTTCATTTTCATTAACTCCAGTACCTTTTTCAGACCCGTTGTCGCAAGTAAAGAGCGTCAGAACTTTATTTACAAACAGAACAGAACTTAACAGAACAGGAGTTACGTACCCTTTGTGTACAGTAGTTCTTCTAAGTACGTAAAAAACAATCATCGTATGTTGCAGCAATGTCCACACATGCATCGTTTTGGTTTCCTACTGTACTGAAGTA